CCTATACTAATATAACGACGTTTTTAAAATGCCATCAAGCTCTAGCGACGGGCGATTTCGATGTTTAGTACTAAACATTACAAAAAGAATTAGCAGCGTTTTTTGTACCTATAATGGCATTTTTAAACGTCGCTAAATGCTGATTTTCCAACAATGAGCGGAACGAATTTAAGATTCAAATTTTGAAGGAGCGCTTGTAATTTTTTATCGAAAAAATTATGGGTAAACTACCAATAAATCATAATAGTTAGACTTAATTTTTATCAAATTCTATTGAAAATAAGTCTTGGTAAAATTGTCGCTAAAAATAATTTTTTGTGACAAATTTTTATATACGTCGCTAAAAATTGACAATTAGTGACTTTTTTTGGTCATGATTTTTAAAAATTGTCGCTAAAATTTACAATTAGTGACTTTTTTTATGACAAATTTTTTCCATAGGACCTATTAGACAATAAGTCCACTTATTAAGACCTACACGTAAGTACCCCAAAAATTATTATAAAATTTTAAATTTTGATTTATACCAACACAAAAAATATGAATAAAATTATTATTAATTAGATATTCTTTCTCAATATAATTGAGAATAAAAATATAATCGGACATATTTTTTTGTCAACGTTAATTAACAAAAATAGTAATTATTATTATGTCTCATTTTCGTCTATTAAAGTTACCTATCTGAAAATGTTAAAATCGCCACTATTTACATATAAAAAATCTATAATAGGCTCAATATGAAAACCTTATGTTCTATTTTTCTCAGTAAATGTGATCAATCAACTTATCTAAAAATTATCTTCTATCCTATAACACAATTTACTTTTGAAATTTTTCATAATTAAAAATATATTATTTTTTATGAGTAAAATGATAATGCGTTTCAATAAGTAGTATTATATTTTATAAACTCATTTTCAAGAATATGTTGAATGTAAACAATACTCATTTCCGGAGAATATTCATGTTTCTAAAGAATGAATGAATGCAAGATAAAGTGCATAAGCAAATGAAAAATGTTTCATACCACTAATTCAACATCATTAATGCACCACTAATGACATGACATCATGTGAACCCCACCATTGATGTGATAGTTTGGCCTTTGTTTTTTTTTTTTTTTTGTTGTTTGTTTGTTTGTTTGTTTTTTTTTTTCTCCTTGCACTTGCTAACTCATGAGTGATGCTTTTAGAGCTTCCAATTTAGTGTTCTAAATCGGTACTGTAAGCAAATTAAAGTGTGATTTATAAAAAGCAGAAAAAAAAAATGATGAAAAAACAAGAATAGTAACAAATAAAATAATAAAAGAAACTTTAAATCATACAAAAATATAACAAGCAATAAAGATATAAAATAGAATAGATCAATATTTGATAAAACTCAGTTTAAAAATTATTTTTAAAATTTTGTAATGTTAATAATTTGGGGGTTCCAATCTTTATAATTCTGAGGGTGCAACCTATTGAAATTTTAAGGGTACGAAATATTTTAATTTAAAATTATTTTACTAATTACTAATATAATATAGATAAGATT